TAGCTCGTAACACATATCAAGATGGAGTGAATTCATTCGTAACAAGTTCACTAGTTTAAATCGTAATCCAACCAGAAAGACAGTATACACACACGTCACATGTGCCACTGATACCAGCAACATACAGTATGTGTTTCAATCTTGTACTGAGATTATTATATCTGAACATTTAAGAGATACTGGACTAATGTAGATATGTTCATGTACTTGCATGTGTGTCTGTTTTTAATCTATAGCTCTCTCTCTCTCTCTTTATTTCTATCATCTTTTGTATCTTTTGTTTATTTCTATTTTGTTTATTCTGTATACTCTTATACCTTCTCTCTTACACTTTTCTTTATTTTTCTATTCTCTTTCTCTCTCTCTTTTAATGATACACATTATTTCACTTATTGTGTTTTGTGTTTTGTCTTTTTGTTACATTTTAACCACCTCTCATTATCTCACTCGGTTTTATTATTATTATTATTATTATTATTATTATTATTATTATTATCATTGTTGTTGTTGTTGTTGTTATTGTTGTTTTGATGATCCTGGAGAATAAAGTAACAGCAAGGGATTGTGGTTTACTTCACTGTTTCATGTACAGTATCAAATAATTGGAAGCTCAGTTTTTAAAATTTGAATTAAAAAATTAATTTCTAATAACTAATAATACCAAAAAGACAAAGTTAATCATTAATTAAAATGTACATGTAATTGTGGTGGATTTAATTTGCATGTAGCAATACAATCATTTGCCTATTTTCTTTCTTGTGTGTTGTACCTATATAGTGAAGTAGAGCTAGCTGTATCTCTCATGTAAGAATAAGGTATGTGTATGGTCTGATCAAAAAGTACTAATGACTATTCATGTGTTACTTTTCTTCACTTTGCCTGATTCCCTAAAAGAAAAACACAAAGACACAAGTAATGCTTGAATTATGTGGGCATAGCACTGAAGGATGTAAAGTTTGTTGTAATTTAAACATTTCCTGGGATGGCATCTGCAAAATTTATAAACAAGCAGTTAGCATGTATTGTACCATAATTAAAAAGTCTAATGTATAAACTATTAATAAGGCTGAGCTCTTAGCAATTTTAGGACTAGCAAAATTCACTGTGCATGCATGCTTATTTTGTATACCTTAAGTTTCTGACACATCATCAACTGGTGAGTGGTGATGAACACTATCAGGTATAGACTGACCTAATGTATTGAGATATAATGACTATATTGATCACTGATAATGTACACCCACACACACTCACCTAGCTGGTGTAACATAGAGGTAGCAATATCTCTCAGTATACAATGTTGTTGGTCTATTAATACATGACATATATTAATAAGATACTGCTTTGGATTAAGAGAAGCTCCCAACAGTTGCTGAATGACATTCACAAGTTTACTAGATTTAGCATAATTATCAACTGCTCCTACAAGCATTTCCTGTTTAGTTTGTTGTGGTATCAAACCATTGGCAGAGTGAAGCTCATTTGCTATTCTTATTACATCAACAGCAATAGCATCAACGAGTTTACCGGAATGATCCCTTAATATACCCTTTGGATCACCTGCAGTAGTGTATTAATAAATAAGTGTTATAATACAAATGGAATTTGCATGATTTATACTCACCTTCAAGGGTACTACTTGGGTTACCTTCTTGTCTTTCACACTTAGCTTCATCAAGCTCTTCCTGAGTCATAAACCAGGACCAATACTCATCACATTGAGAATCTGATAAGTCCTGCCATTCATCTGTTCTACTACATTTGATAAGCACATTATCTTCAACAGTGGCTATATGTTGTTTTTTATCTTTGCAGGGACAGTAAAAAGTTGCAACTGGTTTTTCATAGTTGCTAATTTTGTCTTCTATAACATAATTAATGGCTTTCTTTATACATTTATTTGCACTTGGTCTGTGGCGGGGTTCTTCACAATAGATTTCAATGCAGTAAAGCTGCTCCACCAGTAACACTTTGCACATTCTGTATTTATTAATTTTCTTCTGTATAGTGAAAAAATTTGAGAAATTGTGTTCTTTTGTAATGATGTGCCATTTTTCATCATCAGGATAAGAAAGTAGCTGGACAATAACAGCACAAAACAGACCCATAGGCACTGGTTCATCATTAAAATAATACAGAAGAGGTGTTTTAGAAAAGGTGGAAGCATCAGAAACATCTTTTACAGGAAGCAGTGCAGGCATCAAAAAAACTGCATCTTCTTCATTTGTTTGATCACTTTCGCCTGTTTGTATCAAAGCTGCAATTTTAAGGTGCACAAACAGACCCAAAAGAATGTCTTCTCTACCCTCAAGTGCACCAGCATACATTTTTAAAACATTCATAGATAAATAACCTTTTGAAGCTAACTGGGCTAATTCATCAGGACCAGCTTCCAATGTACTACGAGGTTTACAAACTGCAATCATCAATTTTCTAATAATGTTAATGACAGCATCCAGTTTGACAAACACAATTCCCTTTGCTGGTGAGTCATGATAATAAAACAGCAACTTCAATGCATGAAAAAATTGCAGTGCACTCTGAACGTCATCTTTTGACATGCCTAATGATTCACCAAATTCTTCACAGGAAGATAATTCTAATATTCCAGTGTCTTTTGCTTCATTGCGAAGAATAACACCAAAGCAATGCCACTGCAATGGTACTTCAATTTGATATGCTTGTTCATTCAATGCTTTACGTATAGCATTTATAGCTGGGTCATCATCAAACTCACCACGTTTAGCCTTTGAACCATCAACTTCATGTAGAAGTTGAGCATTATCTTTATATGCAATTTGAATAGATTTAGATCTTAGAATTGATTTTAATTCCGCACTTTTTTTTTCAATATCTTTTACTCCTTTATCACATTCATCACCATGTGTACCAATAGTTATGACTTGAAGCTTTTCATTTTTAGGTGGCTTAATATGCCGCTGATTTTTTATCATTGATCTGAAGTGCTTAGTATTTGAGGCTACAACAGAAAAAACTTGTTTTAGCATATCTTCTACTTTTAAAGAATATTTATCAACAACAATTGTGCCATCAGGTAACTTCATTAATGTGGAAGATTGATCACTGAGATTTTTAGCTAGATTAACCACAAGAACAAGAACTGAACTACAAGGCATAAAAGCTAGTAATAGCTTTTGGAATTGTATTTGACCCCCTGAATC